AAATCCTTGCTTTGATGGGCACATACCTGTTCCAAGTTGTACTTCAGTGCGTTTATCATGCTCTCATTGTACTTGGCCCTTTGCTGCCACGCACCAACTTCCACTGCCAACTGTTTAATCTGGTCCTCAAGTTCAGAGTTCCTTTTGTTAATGTTCTCCACTTCTGCCTCTTTATCCCGTATTTTTCTAAGTATCTTATCCTCAACAGAGGCCAGCGCCTCAAATTGCTTTGCCTGAACTTTCTCCAATATGGACTGCCTAAGCCGCTCACTCTGCCAATTTGACAAATTTAGTTAGCACACCAAAATATTGTGAAATATTAAACATAAGTTACATCACTAATTGTAACTGTATTTAAACAAACCATCCATCCAATGCATAGTCCTATTTGGGAACATACTGCCAAGTGTATCTTTTTCTTATCACAGTTCACTAACTCCTTTGCTTCTTCTGATTTCTTTTGAGGAATAAGGATGGGGGTTCATATCACCAGCACCATTTACGTGGAATAAAAGAATGTAGACAGATATCATATAATCCGGAAGTCAATAGTAACTTATATCAAGTCGTCACCAAAAAGAAGGCTGACAGCTCAGCTGAAGCACATGATCAAAGTTCTCCCTTTTTGCTTTATATATAATATTGCCCATGCCCTTTTTCCCTTTCTCCCCACTTTGATTATTAAAACATGTTAAGCCAGATATACATTCCTGGTGCCTAGAAATTAGCTGAATTCACTAGCTTACCGTAAATGTATGTGGCATGGGCTAAGAAACCCAACGTACATTAAATAATACTGTTTAGTGTCCAAAGGTTAAATGAATGATCCGACCAACATTGAAGATCAGGTCCATTTTGCAGGTAAAGCAATTGTTTAAAAGTTCAATTGATGGAAGCAAATCAAGAATAGACAACTGAAATTTATCCAATCAACAGAAGACAAAAGGAACTAAGAACACAGGTGGTACACGGATAGAACCTTCTGGTTAATTATTTCATCAACTGAAAATGCATTGCAGTTTTGTCTTTAAGCAACAGTGCCTACAATAATGTAGCAGGCAGATCACATTAACTAAGACAAAGGATACCAGAAATTCTATCTTTTCGTTCCATTTTGTCTAACACCGTGGCTTATCAGGATTCAGGAGTCACATAGCAGTCCCATGTGTATACTGATGGGTTAGCTGTACCACCAAGTATAATATGTAACACTTGAGGGTTCAAAGACAGTAACTTCAGGATGATCATTTTGGTTAAAGAAAGGGTTTTAGTCCAATAGAGTTGCTAGGCCTGCATAGGCCCATCTAGAGTGGTATCTGGGTTGTAAACCAAACATAGCCTAATGTTCACCTTTTTGTTAAAATTTACATGGTTTTCTTCAGGTGGAGTACTGAAGGAATTCCTTGAAAAAAGATGGTCTGCTCATGTAGAGATACGCTCATAACGATCAGCATGGTGTCAATAGCAATTAGCAAAGGCGGAAACCTCTAACATTAGCAAAGAAAAGAAACTATCTGTGTGTGCCCTTCACCTGCAAAAACTATATGGCCTGAAACAGTGACGCTTCACTAGTTTTCCCTAACAAAATGATCATGAATACCTCATACAAGTAACACATGCTGGTAAAGTAATAACATCATTAGTTCATTTTTCGTATTAGCTAATCCCACAACGAAAAAGGTTTACGAGTGCCTGACCTGGGCCTTGATGAAGCGGTCCATATCTGCATCGAGCCGCTGAACCTCGCGAGAGATGTCATCATCCAACATCGGGAGCAGGAGCAACGGCGAATCGCCGGAGGAGTTCCCAGCCCCAGCGCCGCTGCCACCGCCATGGCGTCTGTCCTCCAGAGAGAGCGCCAGCCCAGTGGACACCGCGGAGCCCGTCTGCAGGAAATCGATGGACGACATCTGGGAGTTCTCTCCTAGCAGCTCCTGCTCCCTAGGCTGCCTCCACCCTAGCCCCGCCGCGGCCGTAAGCCCCATCGCGTCCACCACTACACAGTACGGGGCAAAAGCCCTATGCTATCAGCGCCAATCGAAGCGGAATTTCAACCAGGCGAAGAGGACGAGGGTTCTTCGCGGTGGGTGGGGAGAAAATGGAAACTCACGTGGTGGCTGCGCGGGCTGGTCCTGGAAGGCCGGCGGCGGGTTGAAGAAGGGAAGAGGCGCCGGGATCTGCCCATCTACCGGCACCGGCAGCGCGTTCCTGCCATGAAGCGCGGAATCCGGCGGGGAATTTTTAGCGCGAAAATTCGTACGCACGAACGCGCAGAGAATGGAATTGAGATCGCGTACCTGAAGGAAGGGGGCACCGGTTGCTGCTGCTGCTGCGGCGGCGGCGGCGGCGGAGCCTGAGGATGCGGCTGCTGGAGGTGGTGATGGGAGAAGAACGCCATGGCCGAGGACGGGGAGGAAGTCGGGGGAAGGAGGGAGAGAGGGGAAAGGGAAGGTAGAGGGAAGAGAGGAGAGAGAAGGCGAGACGGGGTCTACAGTTACGAACATTTTGGCTCATCGAGAGTTGTTTAAGCGGCTAACATGTGGGGTCACGGTCCGTGGAGCCCACATGTCAGTCACGTATTTGTTAGCTCTCTCATGTTCTGCATGCTTTTGGAATTTTGGGCTGAAATATTCCGTGAGAGCCCCTAAACATTGCCAGTATGTTCAGTTCATGGACAAGTTCTTTTTTGGGAGAAATGTTCCGTAATGGCCCCTTAACTTTGCTGGATATGTTCAGCCTCATAAGTTTGTTGATAGTATGTTCTTGGTCGTTGGACGTATGGCCTTGCAAGGAAACCTCATGAGCAGGCACTCAAGATTAATATGTTAGCAGCCTCTTCTCCAATCAGAATTTGCAATAATGCTGAATACAACACACAATTATTTTGGTGGAGCGAGGAGGAAAAGAATAAGAGATACAAGTCTCTAGAAGATACTAGAAGGATCTAGGACAGTGAAAGAGGAGAGGATTACAAAAGAAATCGATAAGTTTGAAGCCAGAAACAGATCGCTGCCAAGAGCCTCAGCTCACCATTTCACCAATTGATCAATCAACTCCACCCACCTAGAGTTGTCGTCGTTGCATATATTTCTTCTCCTAATGCCTGCATGGAGTTCTCAAAAACGAAATGCTTGCATGGGCTCGGCTTGAATCGTGGCCATTTCAGCCCATGTATAATATTAGTAAAGCGTTGGAACATATATGCCGTAAACTAGGCCATATGCTTTAAATGGCTGACATGTGAGCCCCACATCTCATGGTTCGTATGTCAGTGATCTATGTTAGAGGGTAGTATTGGGTGGATCTACAATATATGGGACAACATCAAATGACATCGATAAATTTGGGTAAAACATAGGGTTATGTTGTTTATCTATATATTATAACACTATGGTCTAAAATCCTGTTTGTTTCAACTTAAGATTATTGTAATTCAGATTATTGAGTCGGATTACTATAAGTTGGATTATAATAATCTATAGTAGAGTAACTTATGAGTTGTTTGTTTCTCCGAATTATTGGAGGAATGGATTATTGGGTTTGAAAGACTAATGTCTATAATGCCCTCAGCTATTGCAGAGTGAGAGAAGGATGAGATGGCGGTGGCGACGTGGCTTGGCAAAGGAGCTAGGACGCAGGGTGGGGGCTCGGGAAGGATTTGCGCGTAGGGTTCAAGCTTGGGGAAGCATTCGCGCGCGACTAGGGAGAGAGGAAGCGGATGCACGCACTGCCAGTGGAGACGTCGGATTCACACACGACTGGGAAGAGAGGAAACGGATGCGCGTGTGGCCGGGGGAGTGAGAAAGCGGATGTGCTCGATCGATTGGGTTCGATGGCAGTGCTAGATAATTTGCGTAAAATTTTAAGGGTAGTGGGTCTTTAGCCACCCAATAATCTAAAAAAAATCATGTTTAGAGGGGATTACCAGATTATACTAATATAGTTTATAGATTATAATAATCTATCATAGTAATTTACCAATTTGTTTCATATTATTACTAATAATTTAGATTGTAATAATCCTAAGCTGAAACAAACATGATCTAAATATAATTCGCATAATATGACACCGAAGATACATTATGACACCAACAAACCAATTTTGCGATCCACCACTGGCAATAGTTCAAGAGCTTCTGTTAGAAGTGTAAGGTGTGTACATGCCAAGGTGTTTTCGGAGGCTCTGTTGCCCAAACGCCGCAGCAATTATACAGCCTCAAGCACACTACTTGCACTCGACGTCGGGGGCTATTCGATTGTTTTGATAGGAGGTCATCGTTTGGCTTATTATAGGAATAAGCCAAATAATATATTTGTAAACGAAAAATAAATTGTGAACAAAACTTTTATATACGTGTTCTTGGCGACCTAAAAGCAAAGGCTGAAAAATAAACTTCGATGAAAAAAAACCTTAAAATCAACTCCAAATTTAATGTTGAAAATTCAAATTTTGGCTAATAAGTATAAACATAAGCGAAAAGATGATAGAAAATTTAGAATAATATTAGTAAAAAAGAAATGAATGAATTAACTATTGCAAAAAAGAATCAAAATGTTTTTTTTTATAAAAACTATTACTCCCTCCGTCCCGAAAAAAGGAATTAGGATGAAATATGACATATTCTAGTACAATGAATCTGGACAAAGGTATATCAAAATTCATCACATCCAATACTAGGTTGGTTTTTTATGGGACAGATGGAGTACCTGAGAAACTAATACATAGAAATTTCTTTAAAAATCAAAGTCAGGAAGCATGTCTGATAATCCAATGATATGTAAAGAGAGCAAAACTGGGCCTAATGAAGAACACAAATAGAAGTTCCCATAAACAGCATTTCGCAGTTTTGCGCCCCACGTCGCAGCAATAGCACCCCTTGATGAGTACAGCACAACCCCGCACAAGTGCGCAACAAGCCTTTGGAACGCAAAACGTAGTAGTATTATCTGGCATTGGCTTCACGAATTCGTGCAGGTCCATTGAAGGACACATCTTTAACTGACTAAAAACATGCATAAACTCACAATTACAAGTGAACAGATGAAGGCAACGTGGAGATCACGTCAGAAACAAGTTGCATAATATGTGCTGGGTATTACACTCGTGTTTTGACAATGTCACAATGCATAGATGATCTTTCTAAGCAGAAGATGTAACATGTAACAAGTGTTCTTATATCCTGCTTAACCAGCGAAGATTATATACGTTCTAAAATTTTCAGAATTCAGACTTGCTCCTAAAAAATGACATCAAAAGGATCTTAGAGTCGTTCATAGTTCAGCAGTCACAATGACAGATGTACAGGTTAACCGCAGCAGGATCCACAAGCAGGGAGAGAATCTGGAATTTGAGGTTGGTTAGTCTTAGATGTGCCAAAAAAGGCCACAGCAAAGTAAAAACTGGAATTTGACTCAGCACTTACTCTGATCGTTAGATCGGATGTCAGATAGTGTGCGAGGACCTCGGAGGCCGCCTCCACCGCCGCGGCCGCCCCCATAAGGGCCACCACCAGGACCTCCCCCACCAGGCCCACCATCCCATTTCTTACCAGAGCCATACCCTTTCCTATAGCTGTCTGTTTTTTCAATCTGAAAGATGGAAGTGCGGAAATATTACAATCTTCCTGAGTTGTGACCATATCCATTATGGAAGCACATGGAACAGAAGGTAAATTTAGGGATGTAATTGACTCCAATAACATACCGAGAACATTGTAAGGAAGAACATTCTGATGAAGTTCACAATAGCCCTGAAGAAGTCAGAAATTATGCTTAGCCGCCAAATTGTCCGTTTGTCTTTCACAACACCTGCAAGATACATAAACAATAACATGAGTTTGCATTGTTTAATGGCCAGTCAATTCATAGAAAATATTTACCAGCTAGGGGAAATAAGAATGTGGTCAGCACATAATCATAAACGAACCAACATCAGGAGATTGAACAAATTCAACATATCAGTTAATGTATGCTACACAGCATCCATGAAAAGCAAAGAGTTGTTCTTACTAGTTCCATGAAAGGAAGCGTAAAATGATTTCTTAAAGGGCATAAGTTAAGTCCAGAAGTGAGCAACACACATAAGATGTATAAAATTGAATTCACACTAAATAAACTGAATATAATTGAAGACAATAGTAAAAGGTAAACCAACTACTAATTTCCCTTAAGTTCTTGCATAGCCCCACATCCTTACTGAATGTGTGCACTGAAATAGAAAGACATGGTTTACACCAAACACATATACAGTAAATTACGATATTTAATTACTCCAGTTCAAGAGGAACAAAATAATCTCACGGTGGATTTATAACCAATCCAGTTTGAAGGGCTACAGATCCCATAATGAGAATACATGTTCCAGTCCCACGCCCCCACCACACAACCAAGTTCCCAACAACTTTGGACATCTCAAAACACTAACTTGTAAAATTTTGCCAAGCATATTTTTCTATCTTAATTCTTCAAGATTTTAGGCAAAAGGCCTGCACTAGTGCACTTTGATCTAATTGAACATATAAAACCACTTTGATAGGTTGCCTATTCAGGCTAGTATTATCCTTAGCCAACATCTGGTTGCATGATTCCATATTTTCATTCCTTAAAACTATAAAAGAAAGAGCTCCCCATTTTCTACAGGGTAAAACCTCACTACCAAGTTAAGAGAATCAAACCAATAGTAGTTGCATTGTGCTCAATATATCTTGTGTAGGTGAATATTCCAATAGTCCCAACAGCCAAAATTCTCTTTTGTCCAAAAACCATTTATGATACCCTGTTCGTAAATGATCCAGAAGAGTACTAAAAAGCGCATGGATGCTGTTCCTAAATGATACAGAAGGGTACTAAAGTTGCATGAATGCTGTTCCTAAATGATCTAGAAGGGTACTAAAAGTGCATGAATGATGTTCCTAAATGATCCAGAATGGTACTAAATAGCGCACAGTTCCTAAATGATTGAGAAGTGCTTGAATGAAGTTAACATAAATCAGGACCAATTGAAATGAAATCATTCCATCTTTGAAAAAACCTGTCCCAATATAATTGGAATGCCTAGTTACACAGGTAGCACATCAACTGTGTATTGAAAGCAAAGCTACCTTGCTATGCAGTATGCACTTTGTTATATTACACCATACACAACCATATGCATTCATGTAATTGCTACTGCACCATCGATACATGGAAATGATTATCTACTCTCAAGTCGCAACAGTATACATTAACTCAACATATCATGCACAATCTCATTTGACTCTCAGTGATGGTGAACGATTGGTCATGTAGAAAACCTGGTAACTAGTTAGTTTTTTCCTCGAAAAGGTCGGTAACTATTCAATACTCTTTACTTTTTTTCTTGGCATCTAACAATTGAGAGGTATATCTCACAAATGAGAAACAATAGCCCTCAAAACATCTCCATTCTATGGAAGGTGAATGGAAGTTTCAAGAGGCAAGAAAGTGAAAAGGGTCCAGGAAACGTTAAACAAGGCATTCTAGAGCAGCCATTTTTAGTTTTAATTTTGATATATCAACTCCATCCATCAAATTTATCCCTGCTTTCCAGGTTGGTCAATATTAAGCCATTACTATTAGAAATCGCTAGCTGTGGTATGTGGATACTTATTTAGATTTGCTGTAACATAGCAGCTGTACTCGTTACTCTAGCGTCAGAATCTGCACACACCTGCATATTTTACCCACATATCTAAATCTACTACCGAGATATGACCACACGAAAAACCAAGATTTGATTATTTGACGAAACCGGGTAGGCCAACGAATTCACAGGCACAAATCACAGATCAAAACAGATTATAGACGCAGATCTCACAGCATCCACCGGATAGGGGAAATCGGATTACCTCTCTCGACGTAAGCCATGGTCGCGCCCCCCGGATCGCCCTAGCCCACCCTCTGCGATGGAAAGAACTACAATGATAAGATTTTCGCTCGAGGCGAGAAGAATTAAGAAGGGGAAACCGAAGGGAGAAGGGGATTCGCGAACCTTCTTCCTTGCGCGTGGAGAGACTAGAGACCGGTGAGAGGGTCGCGGGCCTTGCGTCTTTTATTGGCCATTGACTCGTAGACCCGAAGTTTTCGTTGAGGTATGGGGCCCAATGTGTCAGTGACACGAATTGTTGGCCTGCATGCCGGTGAGGAAAGAGCATCGGCAGGAAGAAGGTGCCACGTCAATTGTGCTTTTGTGAGCCGTTGGATTAAGGATGTGGGTTCGAGATGAATTCAAAAGGTCAAATAATCTTCCGGCTGTGGCGCTCTCAAGTCTCACCTTTCTATGGTCAAATAATGCATTAGATAGAGAAGATAGTATAAGGTTTAGGGCTTGTTCACTTTGATGCCGTTTTTAACCTTACTAAATTTTGGTAAAGTTGTAAAAAAAAATTGCTACATTTAGTTTGATGCCAAATTTTAGTAACTATATAAGAAATCATTAACTATGCCAAAATTTTGACAATAACAAAATTTGGTAAGGTTTTTTTTTGGCATCAAAGTGAACAGACCCTTATAGTATATGGTGGTCATCAATTCTAATTTTATCCACGTCATCTACTTATTAATTAAGAGATAACATATATAATATATTGCTTTTAATATACTTACTCTGATATGCTATACTAATTTTTCTCTATTTGTTTTCACTTAATTTATTGGTCTCTTCTCTCGGATTCCTATAAGTTTGTAGTTTTGTGTAGAGATTGTCCTTTCGTCTCTTCCTCTCTTTCTCTCTCTTTCTTTCTCTATTCCATCTTATCACATGATCCTACATGACATCTTATGCAAAAGCTAAGAGATCCATAGTAGGTTGAGTTCGGGAGGCAAACAAAGAAAGCGATTAGAGCGATATTAATTATCAGTCTAAAAAAGCTTGGAAAATGGATTAATATGATTTTTAAAGCAATTTTTATATAGAAAACTTTTGTAAAAAACATACTTTAGCAGTTTGAAAAGCGTGTGCGCAAAAAAAGATGAAGGTGGGTAGGAAAAGAAGGGAGAATAACACAGCATAAGCATGTTTTACCCCTCGACTATTAACTCTTGATTAAGGAACATGGTAAAATTTATACCACTAAGTTATCGAAACCATATATAAATGACTTTTAAGATAATCTCCGGTTTTTTTTAATATGAAACGTCATTGATTTTTAAGATATATTTGACCATTTTCAAACCTAAGAGGTGGTTTATTTTCCCTCAAGAGAACGCGCCGTTATTTTTTTACGTCACCTAAAAAACATAATTTTTTGGAAAAAAATATATGAAAAGACAGATGAATATATGATTTTTTTTAAAAATACAGATTCAAACTTTACTTACACAAATAGAAACAAAAAACAATAAATTTGCTTATGAATGGTCAAATTCATTATTTTTATTTGTACCTATGTAAGTCAAATTTAAACTTCATGGTCATTGATATATTTATAAAAAATAGTTTTTTAGTTGAATTTTAAAGTAACAAAAAAAACAAAGGGACAAATAGACTTCCCTATAACCCAACGCATGCTCAACCACAGTAAATGTTTTAGCTAAGACTTAGAGTTAGTTTTCTTGCAACATCGACACACCATTGCCTGTGTCTTGTGATTTTTCCTGCACGTTTAGAAGGGTGGCATCGATTGAACTTCTGGACACTTGGAGTTCTTCCTTCTTCGTGATGCACCTTTTGCTTTACAGCGCTAGCAATGGCCATGGTCAGGGCCCTCAGCCCTGGCCGGGTTCGGTTACATGCATCGTGATATGCTTGTTGACCTGTGCATCTTGCACCGTCATCCCAGCAATGCAAAACATGCAAATCCCCACTTCGAAAGCACAAGATTCCTTGGCTATTCCGAACCAACAGAACACCTACTCCCAAACAATCACGCTGACTCATGCAACCTCCATGCATCGAATATATATTTTCGCTGCAAAGGCATTAAGAATTTAAGTTAAGATCACCGTCTCCACCAATTCCGTCTTTCCTCTGCGTGCAAATTCCGTCTTCCCTCGCTCCTGATCTCCATGGAAGAGAAGAAGCAGCAGCAGCAGCGTCCACAGAGAGGGCGCGATGGCATCCTGCAGTATCCGCACCTTTTCTTCGCGGCGCTGGCGCTGGCCCTGCTCCTCACCGACCCGTTCCACCTCGGCCCGCTCGCCGGGGTGGACTACCGGCCGGTGAGGCACGAGCTGGCGCCGTACCGCGAGGTGATGGCGCGGTGGCCGCGGGACAACGGCAGCCGGCTCAGGCACGGCAGGCTGGAGTTCGTCGGAGAGGTGTTCGGGCCGGAGTCCATCGAGTTCGACCGCCACGGCCGCGGCCCCTACGCCGGCCTCGCCGACGGCCGCGTCGTGCGGTGGATGGGGGAGGACGCCGGGTGGGAGACGTTCGCCGTCATGAGCCCTGACTGGTAACGAACACCTCGCCTGCATTTTGCTCTCGCCCTCCACGAAAACACCTCTCGTAGCAGTGTACAATTACGTGTTCTTATATTGCAAAAAAAGGTCGGAGAAAGTTTGTGCCAATGGGGTGGAGTCGACGACGAAGAAGCAGCACGAGATGGAGCGACGGTGCGGCCGGCCTCTCGGGCTGAGGTTTCACGGCGAGACCGGCGAGCTCTACGTCGCCGACGCGTACTACGGGCTCATGTCCGTCGGTCCGAACGGCGGGGTGGCGACCTCTCTCGCGAGAGAAGTCGGCGGGAGCCCGGTCAACTTCGCGAACGACCTCGACATCCACCGCAACGGCTCCGTGTTCTTCACCGACACGAGCACGAGATACAACAGAAAGTGTGCAGCTGCAGTATCACTCTCTTCAGTTGTATCGATTCTCTATTTCCTTCTATCGTTCAAGATTTTCTGATTAGAATCAGTTGTGCAGGGATCATCTGAACGTTCTGCTAGAAGGTGAAGGCACAGGGAGGCTGCTCAGATATGACCCAGAAACCAAAGCTGCCCATGTCGTGCTGAGCGGGCTGGTCTTCCCGAATGGCGTGCAGATTTCTGACGACCAGCAGTTCCTCCTCTTCTCCGAAACAACAAACTGCAGGTGAAATGGCACAAGCTTTCACAGGTTCTGAAAATACTAAAGGTTAAACAAGATTCAGAATTGATTAACATTGCACGCATATGCTGTTCTAGGATAATGCGGTACTGGCTGGAAGGGCCAAGAGCCGGGCAGGTGGAGGTGTTCGCCGACCTGCCGGGGTTCCCGGACAACGTGCGACTGAGCAGCGGCGGCGGCGGCGGACGGTTCTGGGTGGCGATCGACTGCTGCAGGACGGCGGCGCAGGAGGTGTTCGCCAAGCGGCCGTGGCTGCGAACGCTCTACTTCAAGCTGCCCCTGACGATGCGGACGCTGGGGAAGATGGTCAGCATGCGGATGCACACCCTCGTCGCGCTCCTCGACGGCGAAGGGGACGTCGTCGAGGTGCTCGAGGACCGGGGCGGCGAGGTGATGCGGCTGGTGAGCGAGGTGAGGGAGGTGGGGCGCAAGCTGTGGATCGGCACCGTGGCTCATAACCACATCGCCACGATCCCTTACCCGTTGGAAGAGCAGAGTAGCAGCAACGTGCTTGGTGATTGATACTTTGATAGGCTGGTTTTAGCAGCAACAAAGGTGTACTAGTTGATGTATTGTTTGTGTTTGCCGGGCCATCATAGAAAGTGCCTGGTGATCTCTGGGACTTGATGGCAAATGTTGGGCAAATTGTGATCGAATAAGATTAGTACTAGAGTTATCGTGTAATAAGGACATGCATGGACTACCATGTATTTCATGTTATGACGCTCCTAAGAGCCACAGACCACAGCGATGGTATTAGACCCCTTCTCAGAATGGTTCTGCTCATTTTCGGCTTCGATCGTGGTACGCGTTCGTGTCTTCGTGTGATCGGAAAAAAAATATTTGCCGTTTACAAGTGATAGTTTTTCAGTGGATGTAATTTGTGCGAAATACCATCGTACAAACGTTTTGTTCTTTTTCATCATAGTCATTAGCCTTTCATGAATAGTACTCACATTTATAAGGCCGATGGTGTTGTCCTATAAAGAAAAAAAATGTACCAGTAAGTAGGGTGGCTAACGAGCCAACTCGGCTCGGCTCGTAAAAACTCGTTAAATTAACGAGCTAGCTTGGCTCGACTCATTAACATAACAAGTAAAAAACTGAACTTGACTCGACTCGTTAAAAAGTCTGAGTTGGCTCATTAAACTCACTAAACTCGTTGCACCAAAATACATGATTTAAAATTCATATACAATATAATTTGTTGGCCTATGACCAAAGATTACGATTGACATGTTATGCATCATGACTCATAAGATTGTGCTACAATGGATAATTATGAATTTACGACCTTTACACCTGTAAATATATAGACAATTAACTTCTATTTTAATGCATCACGAGCTCAACGAGCTAACCGAGTAAGTCACGAGCTAGCTCGAGTTGACTCATTAAGCAAATGAGTAAAAGTTTAAACTCAACCTGAGTCGAGCCGAGTTTTACAACAAGTTGAGTTAGCTCATGAGTTTCGAGTTTTTTTCCACCCCGTCAGATTGAAGTGAGTAAATTCCTAGAATGAACGTTATTTATTGGGAAAAAAAGATACTTTACTCAATTGTAGGAAGAAATCGGTTTGAATAGTAGATGCTATCCAGCCACTTTTAAAAAACGGATAGCGTCGATAGGATAATTTTGAGATAGTTTTGGAGATAAAAAAAAGAATACAGTAAGGCTACTATTCAATGAAAATGAAAACAATCAGAAACTTAGGATGATAATTTCCTGAAACAAAAACCTAGCCCATATCATCTCTAACTTTAGGACTATATTTTTAGTCCAATTTTTTTTTATTTTTGGAAACATGGTAACTTGGTAAGTATAGCTTGTATAGTACTCCTATGTTAATATTTACTAGTCGACTGGTAAGGTATAAAAGAAGGATAAAGCAATGTTTGGGCTGAATCCGCAACGAAGTGGGCTTGGGCCCAAAAATAGCCGCTACTGGTAAAAACCAACCGACCTGAGCCGCACCGTGTACAAATCGAGGGAGGAGAGGGCACACACCGCATACGAGCAGGACAGCACAGGTCGAGACTCGAGAGGCGGCGAGACCGAGCGGGGACGCCATGGATCGCGAGTGGGGCTCCAAGCCCGGCAGCGGCGGCGCCGCCTCCGCCCAGAATGAGGCCATCGACCGGCGGGAGCGCCTCCGCCGCCTCGCCCTCGAGACCATCGACCTCGCCAAGGACCCCTACTTCATGCGCAACCACCTCGGCAGGTACTGCCTCCCACCCGCTAAAACCCTAGCTTTCTTCTTCCTCGATTCGGTTTGCTCCCTCGCGCTAATCCCGCTCGATTTCGTGTCCAGCTACGAGTGCAAGCTGTGCCTGACGCTGCACAACAACGAGGGGAACTACCTGGCTCACACGCAGGGGAAGCGGCACCAGACCAACCTCGCCAAGCGTGCCGCCCGCGAGGCCAAGGACGCGCCCGCGCAGCCCCAGCCCAACAAGAGAAAGTTCGCGCCCCGCAAGTCCGGTGAGTAAAACATCTCTTCTCGTCTCCTTCCCCCAGGATTAACGTCCTTTGGTTATAATGTGAATATTAGCACTAAACTGTTGTGCATTCTGGCTTTGTTTGGTTCTACCAAGTATGGCTAAATCATATTGGTTTGCTCTCAGTTGAAAAAAAGATCCAAAATTATGTATGTAGTTGGTAGTTAGTGTCTAGCGGCAAATTTGTGTGGGTGAATTCTGCTAAATATAATGAAAATTGTTCATAAATGATTGAATGATAGAATCTTTTCTTCAAATCAATCTACCGATGGAAGGTCAAACAGCTAATTACCAAATTCAGACGAGGAGATGACAGTATGACACCTTGAAAAAGCCTTGAAAAATGAAAACTCACCGTGGACATTCGGTTATGCTAATCAATTGGAGCCTAAGCATGAATATTTGGATTAGTTCTGAAAACTTCATGGAGTATAGCAATTTCTAGTCCAGAATGGTGTTTTACTATACTTAAAGTTTATAGGAGCTCATAATTTGGCTTAAAACTGAGTATGGCTCAATTCTCAAAGATGACCAGTTTCTTATCTGAACCCTTTCATGTTGTCTGTATCTTTGGGGATAGTTATGCTATCTTTAAGTCCAGCTATCTGGACATGGTCGAATCTGTTGGAAGAATCTAACACAAAATATTTTAATTATCTTTCCTTCCTTTTCAGTTAAGATTGGAAGACCTGGGTATCAGGTGACTAAGCAGTATGATCCTGACATGAAGCAACACTCATTTCTTTTTGAGGTCAGTGTTCATTGCGTTTACATTTGTTTGGCACTTGAATTTAATTCATACATGTTTTTACATGTTAATATTGTGAAGTCCAGAACAAATTAGTTCACTTTCCAATACTCCATATATATAGAGATAATTTTGTTTATTTTTCTTTTCATGTCATGTAATGTAGGGCATCAAAGTTACATACTTATGGAAATGATCTTTTTGTGACTCCAGTTAAGTTAGCTCCTTTTTTTTTCTCCATATTTAAGTTCATTGCACAGTTTCTATAGTTTCCCTTACATCCACATTTGCAAACTAGTTTTATAATATTGTTACCTGGAGTTTCATCTTTTGATGAGGGGACTTTTGAGGACTATCACATTCAAAATGGTGATGGATAAATGAGTTCACCGACAAATTTTGAGGATATTTTGTTTTTAAAATTTATCCTTATAACATTAGAACATGTATATAATTTTGTACGCTGGGGTGATAACTTTTGATATTTCTCTTTTAGATTGGTTATCCTGAAATTGAAGAAAACAGCAAGCCAAGGCACCGTTTCATGGCATCATATGAACAGGTAAAGCAATCAACCTGCCTGATTGTTCGGTTTTCAGTTTGTGGTATGTTGCTTTGTTTGTTACTCCCATGTATCAACAGTAACCTAACAGACTGATGTTTTGTACAGAAAGTCGAATCTTGGGATAAAAAGTATCAATATCTACTTTTTGCAGCAGAGCCCTATGAAATTATTGGCTTTAAGGTGTGTGTTTTGAATGTTTTGCTGCTAGGATTTCAGATCAACTGGCCATTGTATTTTGCTAACAATTTTTGCTGTTGCAGATACCAAGCGCAGAGATCGACAAGTCAGCAGATAAATTCTTCAACTATTGGGATCCAGACAAGAAACAGTACATTGTGAGTACAATATAGTTTTTCATTGTTCATAATTTAGGCTATTTAGCCTGCCTTCATAGCAATCTTGGTTCTCAACTTATCTTCGTGTTGTTTGCAACAGCTCCAACTATACTTCAAAACAAGACAACCAGAAGCTAATAAGCCGCCTGCGGCTCCTGGGACTTTGCCAAATGGATCTGGAGGTCCACCACGCCCACCCCCACCGCAGGTTCCGCCACCCCCGCCACAGGCTCCGCCGCCGCCTCCACCAAATGCACCTATGGGTATGCCCCCAAGGATCCCACCCCCACCTGTTGGTGGTACTCAACCTCCACCACCACCGCCCCCACTTGCAAATGGACCTCCACGATCAATCCCACCCCCACCTATGACCGGTGGTGCAATGGCTAACTTCACTCCTGGAGCACCTCCTCGTCCTCCAATGCAAGGATTTCCTGGGCCGCAGCAGTAGATGACCCAAGCGACAACAACTGAGGTCGGGCTACAAATGTTGCAATGATTGCCTAGTTTGCTGTAGAATGCCTTTTGACCCAAATTTGTATGTTGTCAAATACATTATATATTTACATGTACTCTTAGACTATAGTATTGTCGATTTTAAGAAATTTTCCACCTTGATACTTTTGATACTTCTATTCAAAGCACTTGGTGTCTATTGCGCTTGCGCACATTGTTCTTGTATTGTCTGACGTTGACGGTGTGTGCCCGTGAGCACCGAGCTGGGTGCTATGCAATTGCGCGAAGCATACATACAACATCGATAATTCAGTATGTACCGATCAGGATCTCCTTGATGGGCTGCTTTCATGCGAAATTGCTCTTGCTTTGGTCAGTTGATTTCGGTGAGGACCATATAGTTGCGACCCATGTTTAACATTCTTTTCATTTATTCATGCTATCATGTACGCTGGATAAACAGTCGTATGGAAACTACCAGAGGAAATGCCAACAGAGGCAAGAATGACCAATTGAAACATCAGATGATCAGATCAGTTTGGCAATGTGCCAAATACATCCCTCAAGCTTATTGCCTTCCTTGCACTTGCCTGTCATTCAAGAGGTAGCAACAAAAACCCCTTGAATGTGAATTTCCTACTGCTAAATCTTAAAATTGTGTTCCAAATTCGCTCAACAGGTCATCTCCTACGTTCCCGCTCTCATGAAAATCAGAGCAACTGCCTGCCATCATCTACTCCGATTAAGGGTAGTAGCTCAGCACAACATTTACGCGATGTGGTCAACTCCGCTTTTCATGATCCACCTGGCGCAAATCGGTGGCAGCAGGACTAGGAATGAATCCACCAGATGTTGGCCTGGAGATTGAATTCACAAACGCTTATGATTCATAAATAACTGGTAGGCATCACAATACAAAAATCGAACTGTCCATGATGTACTTACAGTCCAACAAAGACTTTAAATGCATCATATGTTGCCCATTGAGCTCCAGTAAGAGTACCAACCATAATAATACGGAGTGGAAGGCCACGAGTGAGAAGGCCCCACACTCCTAGAGTTCTTACAGCCTGAAAGTGCAATGCATTGGTCAGAAATAGTTAAACAAAATCAGTAGAACATTACTTGACAGTAGGTGTAAGAACTTTTTTTTTATATGAAAGTCACTGAGAGGGCTAGCAGCTTACATCAGCCATAGTGCCCCCCTTTGCATTGTTGAGGAAAGACACCAGGTTGTCTGCAGGATGAGAGATAGCTGCACAGAAGACTCCTGCAATATATCCCCCTGCAAAGCTCACTGCTAGCTGGAGTGGCTTACTGCATTCATCTTTTGGCTTTGGAACTGCATGCTTATATACTAATTCAACAATTGTCTCAAAGCAAGCAAATTTCACCATAGTATCTGGAAATTGAAAGTAGTTTAGACACAAGTGAGAATAACAACCTAAAAGGAAACGGCATAAGAATTGCTGGCATCTGTACGGGACTTAGTAGCATCTTACATTTTAAAAGATGTGGTCCTATCTGCAATTTACACTACATTTTATTAATTCTAGTTTACCTTAATCTTGTTTTAGGTAAATCCTTGTTTGTTTCATGTACCAGATCCTGGATAAAACCAAGTTTCCTCGAAACTGGAAAAATCGTATTTTCTCAGGAACGACTCCACAATGTTTTTGGTGCCCAGCCAAACAAGATTTTACATATATCTAGATTCTGGAATAACGGAATTAAAAGTCGAATTAAAAGTCGTTTCCCCCCTAAAAACCTGCTTTTATTTTCCTCATTAAAACAACCACTAAAAGTTAGTAAGTGCATTGCCTTGATTTATTTTTTTTAAAAAAATGGTATGGCAGATATCTAATTATCTATGCTTTTGAAACTTTGGGTGGTATTGAAGTGCATCGGTAACTTTGAGTGGTATATTTCTAAAGTGGGCATATTTCGATATCAACAAACCAATTCCCCATAAACGTGTTGGAAGATTATCTCCTCTCCCACCTTTTATCATCCTGACAAATTGATGTTAAATTTTCCATCCATTTTTTTTTCCAAGAATAGCAAACTAAGAAGCTGAGCAAAACAAATGAGGTATCTAGTATACATAGCTTAAAGCTACAGCAACCATTTGATTGTTTTCAGTTTTGACAACTACAGCTGATCTTGACTTCTACTTAGGGTGCAATGAATTAAATTCGTAGTGTAAATTTCGAGGGATGCCCTGAAGTTGTTACCGTGATAATAGTTACAATTGACAATTTTTCCATAGAGTAGCCACATAAGTAAGAAAATATAATATAGTTTGTTCGAGAAAGTGCAACAGACTATGTCTTGCAGCATTATTAGGAGAGCAGACTACTAAAATACTAACTCTCAAAAAAGAGTTATAAAATAGTGCCAGCTAAAGTTATTCTTCTGTCAGAAAATAGCAACGATGAGTGGCACTCATTCAGTAGAATGGGCAATTTGGTATGTTAGAATAGTATCAATCTGTCAACGATGGCTCTTTGTGAGCATGCGACTTCAAGACTTCTCTTCATGGTCAACGCTCGTGGCACATAATGTTATTGCACACAAAATCTAATATCCTTTCAGTAGGAACATGAGCAAAAACAGTAACTCACCAGAGGATTTTGCTATAGCCCTTGCTGTCAAATGTTAGTTGCTACTATGGACCTTTTATTTGCCCCATTACTATGGACCTATGGTCTACATTATGCAGTTAAAAACCTGACATGCAAATATAATACTCTAGTGAAAGATAACTGCTAACGAGACATTTGACTTACAAGGAACTTGGCGACCCCAGAGAGGAAGTAGTCCTTTATAAAGCCTGAAATTCGCACATTGTATTATAGGATGTCCCCAAATAAACTTTGAACAGAAGTCACAATTGTATACAAGAAATGCAGTATCTATACCCAAAGGCACCTTCAGATTGGACAATCTTCGGAAACCCATCCGTCAGGCACCGAGCAAATCCTGGCTGAGTTTGGACTCGAACCTTCACAGCCTCCATGGGGCAGAGAGCTACATCTGCAATCATCTCAGCCGATGCCGACGCTGCAAGGTAGATGAAGGTCTTCCACTTCTCAGCATGCTCGGGGCCAGCAATGTCCGAGTAGCACTTCTTAAAGAACTCGTAGAACCCAAATTTGCAAGCCCCCTGGCTGCTGTACCCAACCAGCGTGGCCATCCAGCCCTTGAAGAATCCACCAAGACCTTGCTCTTGGAGCAGGACACCAAATCCAGATGAAATGTCCCTGTACTTACCAGGGTCAACCTGCAAGAATACATTGTACACACGAATTCCATTAACCATTTAGGGAGCTAGTGATTTGTATGAGTTCCATTAGTCATTGGGGAAGCTAGAGATTTGAGCTACAGTAACACGGCGAAAGACCTGCATGTTGCACTTGACGAGGTCGAGGGGAGTGACGGCGAGGTGGGTGAGGCCGGTGCTGAGGAGCCCGCCGAGGGCGCAGGTGGCGTAGAACAGCGGCGTGTGCAGCTGCATCGCCGCCGAATCCGCCTTCCTACCCTCCTCCAACCCCACGCCCGCCGCTCTGGCTCCCTCCCTTCCCCGTTTGCGGAGCGCCGCCTCCCACCTCCTCCCGAGCCGCTCGGCGTTGGCGGCGAGCTCGGCCAGGAGGCGGTCGAGGGGCAGCGGCTCCGGTGAGCAGCCGACCTTGTCGGGGCTCGCCATGCGGGGACAGGCGCTGCTGCTGCTGGGAGGAGCGCGACGGGAGAGCAGCGTGGTCGGAGACGCGCATGGTCTGGGGGGTGTGCAAGAGGGGGAGAAGGGCCGCCGCGTCTCGCCGAACGCGCGCGCGCGCCGGCGTCCGCTCGCGAAGCCGAAGCGGCGTGAGGACCGTAGCAGCCGAGTGCGGCGTGCGTGACGAGGGGGGCGCGCCGCCGCTCGCTCGCTGACGCTGAGCCGCTGTGCTCCGCGCGGCGGCGGCTTGGCTGTTTTTTTTTCCTTTTTCCGTTTTCTGTGGGCTGAGGTCTGACGAGGCGACGCCGCGAGATTCGGGTGCGGAATTGCGGATGTGGTGGGCGCGGACGCGGGACAGGAAGCCCACGGCCTCCTCTGGGCGTTGCGCACGAGCTGTGCAGTGCCTGTGGTGAGCTCGTTGGCACATTCGAGGCTGGGATTTTCCGCCGAGAGGAAAAAGGTGCGGTGGAAACGAGATGGGAAGCGAGATGTGCGAGGATTATCTGGTTATCTCCGTGGTTTTGACATGTTTGTTTTGCAACGCACCAACGCCTCTGCGTGCCCGGCACTCCCCGAACGATGCATCAGAAGTCCAGAACCGACGTGCAACCCGTGCGAATCACGTGATGATGGGCCTGTTGGGAAAATTTAACTATTGGCTATTTATTGGAGTACATCTTTAGCAGAAACACCACTCAAAATCTTGTAATTTTAGATAGTTGGATTGCTTGGGGATTCATACATGTATCCATATCCTAATCCCTTTCTCTTTTTTTTTTCCTTTTCCTTCAGCACCGCATGCTTGAACCGACACTTATTTGATGCGCAGGCCTACCCCGTTGTCCTCCTCAAGACATCAACGACGAGGTCCCCTACCCAGCCATTTTTCTCGTCTCAAGTGGTTCCTCACTGTCGAATCCGCTACCACTGGTCACCACTTCCTAACTCGTCGCTCTGCTTTACCCCTGCCACCTGCAACACAGGCCCACCGCCGCCTACCGTCCACGCGCTTTGGCAGCACCGATGCCCTAGCCGCCCACCCATTCCTCTGCCCAATGTTGGGCACCATCTCCCATGGACCATGGTCATCCCTCTAAGCCCTGCGAGGCGGTGACCTCCCACTTTTCTTCCATCCCTCATCCCCAACTCATGACCTTAATTTGTAGGTCCTCCATTTGGAGTTTGGTGGTGTTGTCGGAACCAGAGGAGAAGAGGAAGTCACCAGAGTTGGATGAGACACACCCGGAGCATTAATCGTGAAGAACATCCCTTAGCCCAAAATCTACAAGATTTGAGGATGGATTTTTTGTCAACAGAAGGTTAGCAATGCAGTTTAACTATTTGTCACTCTTTAAATGACAGACTTGCTATTCTTCCTAATCTTTTGTCACTGAAGGGAAGTGAAATGTCCATTTTTCCCAAACCTTGTCTTTCATCCCTCTTCTCGCTGGGATTAGGAACGGTGGTGACAATTAAGGGCAATCTAGCATTTTTTATCTCTCTCCTTAATTTATTTAACAATCTTCATGAGTAGTTATATTTTGGGCCAGAGAGAGTATATTTGTCAGTGACCCAATAACTGCGGTCTCAGGCAATCGACGTGCACCAGGAACGTGCCACGTATCTCTTCATTTGGCCTGTTATCCGTACAGGAGATTGATGTGGAGTGGCACGTGGTCTATCCCAGGATAAGAAGAATGCACCACTTAGGGCACCTCGAGGACAATCCTTAGACAGAGGCTGAACAACAGGTTTAGGCTGGCACTGGGTCCCATTTATGCTTTATGGGACGGTTATCTACCATGGAGCAGAAAGCATGAAGATAGGGCGGCAACTGCAGCAACTGCCACTCGTCGCTTCAACTAACGCTTCAACTGTGTTGGTCCTGACACGGGCATGGATAATCGGAGGGCATAGTTGACTACAGTGTCCTCACTAGGACCCACTCAAGTTTCTGCCTCTCACTAGGTAATGAAAGGCGGACTCCGCACCTACCGGGGCACAACGAACCCTATTCACCACATGTTTGGTGGATTGAATGGGAGCATGTGGCAAGTTGTCGTCGTGCCCCGCATGAAGAAGGCCCCGCTCAAGACGGACCTGAGGCCCTAGTGGATTAGGCAGGTTAGCATGGCAAACTCTCACCAATTTGCCATGCCCCGCTTACAGTGGGCCCCACTAAGGCCTAACCTGCGGCTGATGGAGCAAGAGAGAAAATGAACTATTGATGAGACAACCATACCTTACGTTGATACGAATAAAATCTTCCCTCGAAGTGTGGTTATGTGGTGTCCCTGAGAGAAAGTATAAGGGAAGAGCGAGGACCAAAGGAGGGGGTGGGATGTTGGGTAACTGAGGAGAGACTTCAACACATTGAGTCAAATTCTTAGGAAACCCATAAGAGAAAGGAAGATAATCTATTTGAGTAGTCGATAAACTTGTAAGATCCTTCAAGGACGAACGAGAAACCACCACAACAAGAGTAGCATGTTACACCTCTAGGGTATCCCAAACCTGTATACGTCTTTGTGTTAATCTATTCTAGCGCTCTAGAGGAGCTCAAGCCCCTCACTCTCACATGACTAGCTCTCTAGTCAAACTCACAGAGGGTCCTACCGGATCCATGCTATCGAGGTCCATCCACAGACAATAATATTGCTTTCCAATCAAGACACAAGCATCTCCCTAAGGTGTTTTATCTTCGATTATTGTTGTTGAGTTTACTAATTGATTGCCCCCTTCTCTCTCTCTTATAGTGCCTATGTAGCTTTCCCGACTCCAGCTTTGATGGCTCTCGTAGTCTCTGCTCGTTGGCTTATCAACAAGAACAAAAATTTGAATTGTGAAACAAAAGTTTTGGAATTTTTCGTCTAGTCAATTTTTCAACGTCGGTTTTTAAACTGGTAATGATATCGGTCTAAAAGTTTTATCTATAAATTATTTTTGATTGGTTTGTTTATTTTTCAGGTTTATCAGCTGTAGCCCAACCAATTAGAAAGTGCCATTTTGTTTACATGGTGGTTGTATTTTTAACAAGAGTACTGCTATACGTATGACCCAGTTGTACAACTCATATACAAATAGAAACATGTAACCATAGATTGATCAAATAAAGCATATTCATATGCATTGCAACCATTTATAAACGTTTATCAAATTCAGTCGTACGTGAGTCGGATAATTGGGTTGTATGCATGCAATTTCCTTTTAACAAAGTCAATATGCTGGCAACAATTTACGATTAACTTTTACCGTTGATAAGCAAGCACAATAGTGCACTCCTACGTAGAAATTTTTGTGCAACATCAAATGCTAACCAATCTCTCGAATGAGAACGACCAACACACACGTACTAAGAGTTAGCAACTCTCAACGTCTTGCGAGTGACAGTTTTGACACACCAACGGAACTCAACTTACACGGGAGCTACATTTTTTTTACGTCTGAATTCTGCGATCACATCCAATCCAAAGCTAAGCTAGATGGCGACTCAAACTAGCGCGTAAGCTGGCTCGACAAGGAACGAATCAATATAGTCAAACTCCGTCCGCGCGAAGCCACCGGTGGCCACCGGCGCCATCCCGACGACGGGCTGGCACACCCCCTCCGGCGGCGACGACGGCACCGGCAGCGGCGGCGGCGCCCACACGGACGCCGACATCAGCCGCCGGGCCTTCCACCCGAGCACGATCTTGTTGGGACCCGTCTCCTCCACCGTGTACCCGTCGTTGAACAGGCCGAGCAGCAGCCTCGCCTGGCTGTGGTTGAAGCAGCTGAGCGGCACGGCGGTGAACCCGCTCCCGCGCATCCACTGCCCCCACCCGCACCTCCCCTCGCCGTCGACGCCGCGGTACGCGCGGCTCACGGCGCCGGCGATGTTGGGGGCGAGGATGACGCGCTCCACGAGGCCGCGCACCCGGCTCTGCGTCGGGAACCCGGCCTCGAGAGAGTCCCACACCGCGGAGTAGCGGTGCAGCTCCTCCATGAACTGCCGCACGAAGCCGCCCGCCGCGGCGTCGCCGGCCGAGTCGCCGTCGTCGTCCTTCTCGGCTTCGCCTTCCTCCTCGACCACCGTGACCAGCTTGGCACCGAGCGCGGCCATGCCGGACAGGAATGACGCCACCGAGCCGGTGGGGCGTCTGATGGTGGTGGTGGCCGCGGCTTGGTGGAGGACGCAGTTGGCGACGAGCGCCTCCCCCTTGACCATCCGGACCGTCGCCGGCCGGAACCTCTCGTCGGAGTCCAGGCGGCACTGTCCGAAAGAGAAGGGTTGCCCGATGGACGCCGCGAACGCTGACAGGCGGCGGCCGGCCTCCTGGACGGCCCGGGCGCCGCCGCCTCCGCTGCGGGAGACGGCGGTGATGCGCAGGTGCGGCGCCGGCACGCCGTCGGCGCGGGAGGTCATGGCCTGCATCAGCGACGCCCACTGGATCCCCTCGGCGATGTCGTAGTCGACAATGTGCACGCGCCGGTCGCCGGACACCGCCTCGAGGATCGCCTGGTTCGCGGTGAAGTGGCCGAACTTCATGTACGGCGACATGTCCTGCAGCATCTGGAACGCCGTCAGCACGTCGCCGGCGTGGTGGTGCGACGCCGCGGCGGCCGCCTGCCGGCCGGACCCTCCGACGGGGTGGGAGCCGTCGAGGAGCCCCTGGAGCGCGTCGGTGAAGTGCGCGGCGAGGCGCTCCATGTTGGACGCGGCGGCGTTGGCGCTGGCGGTGTGTGAGACCATCTCCTTGAGCCGAACCAATATCACCCGGGCCAGCTCCCGGCTCTTGTGCGGGCCGGAGAGCGCCTCGGCGGCCGCCATGAGCAGGTGGAGCAGCCGGAGGCCCTTCTCGGGGCAGCCCTGCGTCGGGTCGTCGAACACCGGCGAGCCAGGGTTCGTGGTGGTGGTGCTGCTCGGGTTGGAGCCATTGCCGTAGCAGTAAAGGTCGTCGCGGAACATATCCGCGTGGTGGAGGCCAGCTTGGCCGTCGTCGTCGACGCCGACGAGCGTGTCGTCGCAGAGCATGGACTCGATGAGGCCGTGCAGGTCGTGGCCGCCGTCGTCGTCGGAGCAGCAGAAGTTGGCCCAGTCGGCGACCGGGGACAGCTCGCCCCACGCGTAGCACATCCCCGTGCCGTCGTCGAGGGAGGACGCGGAGGAGGTGGTGGTGGTGGAGCCGCAGCCGGAGAACTCGAAGTCCCCGGCCACGTCCTCCATGGTCACCTCCATGGCCGTACCCGTACTCTCCTACCACGCGTCGTGCGTGTGTGCTCCTCCTCTGTTTTTGGTTTGCCGGCAAATGTTTTGGCGCGAGAGGGAACAACAGGGGAAGCAGAGATAGTTGCCAATTGCCAAGTACGAGTGGGCACCTAGCGGGTTATTTATACAGGGAGGCTTGAGCCGTTCTTGGCACTGGCCCCGCGCCGGAACGGCACTGTGCTAGCTGAAAGGGAATTAAGCCGGCACAGGTAGACTGGTAGCAAGAGCAAGTTTAATCCTATAGCCAACTATTAGCTTCAAATCATCTATAGTTAATTTAATAGCTAATTAATACAATAGTTATCTATAAATATATACTACACAATCAATATCTAGCCCCACCTGTTATACACACATGTGTTTTGGAATCCGTACTATAGCTGACTACAAATCTATAGTCCGCTGCTCTTATCTCTTCTCTTTTATTTTTTTAATAAAATATATTTATAGTTGGCTTATAGTCTGCTATTGTACCTACTCTAAGGCATTCTTTTCTGATGATACATATTTTACTTTAGTTTCTGTTAGCATGTTTTTCAATATGCTAAACAATATATTTAGTGGATAAAGTTTTTATATATAAGTTACTTTAAAATATTAGATAAATCATTTTTTTCAAATTTAAAATAATTAAAAGTCAATTAATTATGTTCTAATGTCTTTCTCATTTTGGATGCTTGTATTTAGTTTCCAACTTCATTAGTTGTGAACACAAGTATAGCAAACACGGGGAGAGAGAAATCGGGGCTAAAATATTGCGTAGGGTTTATGGGCTTTGTTTTTCTTGTTAAACCGTACAAATCGGCGATGTTTGTATGTTTCACCAGAGTAATTGAGTAGAACACGTAGGTTTCTCAGTAGATGGATGAAACAATGCGTTTGACTGTATCATCGCCACTCTTTTAACTTGGTGGATATATTACCAGGTTAGTAAATGATCTGAGCTTCAACAGAAGTATCAAAACAATTTGGAAATCTATTGTAGTTCTTGTTTTTCACAATGTCAGTTGTCTCTTTAAGGATAAAATTAATAATCCTAGATAAGTTGATCCATGAGAGGGACATCTCATGAAGGCAGCTGGCCAAGAATTCATGCACCTTTTACTAACTGAGCTGGTCACAGTTCCTTCTCAATGTTTCTGTGTGCTACTTCCTCCCTCCCAATACTGGCAACTTACATTGACAGCCCCATATTTTCGCTTATGCTTATATTTATCAGCTAAAATTTAAATTTTCAATCTTAAATTTGGATTTGATTTTGAAGTTTTCTCATCGAATTTTATTTTCCAGCCTTTGATTTTAAATCGCTAAGAACACGTATATAAAAGTTTTATTCATAAATTATTATTTTTTTGTAAATAAGCCGTTTGGCTTATTTTGGAGCTTTGAGTATGTTCAAGAGCTTTGAGTATATTCTAATTCGTACTCATAGGATGAGTCTTACTTATCACATCCTAGATTGCTATAGGAGGGATAACCATTCTGTCAACATCGGACTGTTCGTGCGGTTTAGCCAGGTTTTGGCATCACTATGCATTAATTTATTAGTTTTTACGTTGTTTTTGTTCCTTCCATGATACCCTCTCGTTCTTGTCTTTAATGTTGGACAGAAGCAATGGCTTGTCTCACATGGTTTTTGGTTGCATCTGTGCAGTGGTGAGTTGTAGGTTACAATTGAACCAAGAAGATTCTCCCAACCAAACTTGAGTAGTGAAGCTTTGTAAGTGAGCACTAATTTGTTCCTAGTCACGTCTCACCTGATGGATGGAATATTAAGGATAACACATTAACTTGATGAGCCAACTAAATAAACATAAGTTAGACTTTTCAAAAAATAAATTGAGGGAAATAAGTGGATCATTGAAAATCTCTAAAAATATATGGTTTTATTATTACGCTTTTTTCTCTTTCCTATCAAAGTTTGCCAACAGCCTATCCCATTTTCAAACATAGCTGTGGACTGTTTTCATATATGTACCTATTGTATGAAGTATGAGCTTATGGTTTCCTTATGTTTAGCATGTAGTAATAGGATATACTAGCAGTGTGTGTTTACGTGCATTTCTCATGTAATCGAAAGAAGAGAGAAGGTTGCTATATATAAATGCTGATGGATTTTTTTAACCATTTCAAAATATTATTCTACTAACCATCTTCTTTTTTTTTCTTTCTTAGACGTGGTATGTTCAAGGAATCAAGGTTGAATTTCCTCCATTATTATTAGGTGTTAATTCCATCCAATCATAAATATTTGAGTTTTGGGCAATATTTGATCAAATTTTAAGGTTTTGACAATTTGTGCAAAATCTTTCACCTGCGCTCTTCATTTTTTTTTTTACTCTTAATTAACACTGAGCCCTTCACCTTTCCGGAGGAAACAGATACTCTCTTGTGTTTGCATTCGGCTAACTTCAATTTGACAACTTGACCTCCAACTTGCTGGGGCCATGGAACACTTTCTTATTATGGCATACTAATCACTAAATACTACTCACTCGTAAGCAATTATTGATGTGTCTCTGCACTAATTTTTTTTGTTTCCCAAGCAACTTGCCCAAGACAATTGGAGCATGCAAATCTACCTAGAGCATACCGCCCTCCATGTTGGCATATCATATGTTTTTTCACTTGCCATCACCCATACTTAATTTGGAATGATCTATCTAGTACAATAATATGCCAAAACACCAAGTAACTAACTTAATACTTGAATTCCATGGATCATGGGAAAGAGCCAAGTACTGGCCGGCAGTCTAGCTAGTAATTAGCCACTGGCACCTCTCCACGAAGCCAAATCTGAAAAACGAGATGAAAAAAAATTCTCTGCCATTAACTCGACCCTACTGACATGTGGCTACCTCCATGCATGGCCAGAGCCGCATGAGAGGCCAGTGGTTAAACGGCAAATTGCTCCGGCCGTCGCCGTCCGTACTCACGACGACGACCGAGTACACACCTAGGCCATCGACCGACACACCTACGTTGAAAAAAAAAAGATAATGATTTTTAGTCCCTAACATATACTAGGACAAGGCGGCAGGATAGCTTAGCTTGAGTGCAGCAAGAACTGAGGAGATAAAAATTTTACGTTTCCTGCAGAGCTCACGGTATCACTTGGCAATCCTCGTATGGCGATTGGCTCGCCGGCCGGCGACAGCGACCGGCCGCCGGCGAGACGTACTGGTCGGGAGCGAGTCCCCCTTCGACGGAAGCTAGCAATTATTGCGAGCGAGTGAGCGATCGGGTCGCCGAAAAGCGTGACGCTGTCCTGTTGCGGTTGCTTCGGTCGCGGATGCAACTGTGAATTGTTAACCTGCAGCTGGTTGGCAATCAGTAAAGAAATGCCCGGTGTTCTTGGCCGCTTCTACTCGTCTGACTAAGCCCTGAAACAAATTTATTTAATTTGATGATGTTAACTGGTTTTATGATAGTCTTCCTGTGGCCGCTTATTGACGTCGTCTTGTGGGGTGTAGGACTAAATTAGAATTTCCCAGTGAACCGATCAGCAAACCATTGGAGATTTTTTTTTTCCTGAAGAAAATGTATCGGCTGGTGCTATCTGAAGCTCTGAACTGGCTGACTATGGTCAGTGTTGCTAAAGGCTAGGGGTAGAAATGTGCCGAGAGAGATGGCCAACAGTAACTTGTACTCTCTAACATATAAATAGCACACAATCTCAACTTAAATGTAGCTTACTTATAGGCAACTTGTGTTAGCACCCATCAGGTTGCTTAGCTTTGTTGCCAAGGCCGGCGCTGAAAGTCAAAACTTTTCAATATTAGAGCGTGGAGTTACCATTTTCTCATATTTCTATGAACCATTTGGAAAAAAAAAAAGTGAAACAGGATTGGCCTTTGATGGTGTCCAAATGGCTTCCACAGAGCTGATTGGCTGGTGCAATGAGCTTCTAGCTCTAATGATTTTAGATACATGGAAATTTCCAAAAGAGAAGTACTCAGGAAAATCCAAAGGAACCTATTGTATTGTATAATTATAAAGATCTCCTATGGAATGAAGGAATTTAGAGGATTTCCGGAAAAATTGAACTAATTCATGTACAATCCTGTATTTTAAAAGAGCCTAAGAAATGGCAAAAAAGACTTGTCATATTTGTTATAAAAACACAGAAATTATCATGTTAATTAGAGAAAAAAAGAAAATAAACTCACCATTTGATCGTGGTGGACCTAGATTATAATGGTGTAACTAGACCGATATAGTTATGGACAAAATGTAATTGTATTTATGAACGGAATATGTAATTTAATTCTACATTATAAACTAGCTCTGCACAAAAGTGGGTAAAAAAACCGCTAGTTAGAGCAGTATCTCCTTGTCATCATGAATTTCTATAGTTAAACAAGTCGTTTTATGGTCGATTTAATAAACTCCATATTGCTGTTGCTGAGTTGCTCCATACATTGTTGAGATCACTATTAACTATTCAATCCTTTATGTTTTCTTAAACAAAAAACCGGATAGAGTCCCCAAACTACTTGATTTGAAGAACAAGGCATGTTACAGTTCATAAGTCATAACCCTGCCACTTGCCCAGTTGGCTCGAGACCCAGTTCCACTTCCAGCTCGGTCGGCCAACCTGACGGCACTACAATAACAAGAAAAGTTTTCAGATAGCTCCCAGTTCACAAACATGCATGATCGCCCACGCTGCTGAACTGCTGAAGACTGAACCCTTCTTCTGTCTCTTCTGAACAATGCATCCCAAAACCCCGGTATATTCCTAGTATAAACTTTAGGCATATGCTTAGGCATAACCTCCTTATTACATCACCCTTTGTTGCTTCCCGTAATGCAATATATACGCACTAACAACCCAGCTAATTCTCTTGTACGACTGCAATAAAGTGGGGTTTTGTCGTGGCCTGGATGTTTAAGTTAATCAAAGAATCAAATGGTGATAACGTTAACATGCTGGACGGTGCCATCATCACAAGGTTAGTTATTCGCATGAAGTACACATCCAGCCGCAGATAAAATGTTTTCTTTTCAAGTTCTAGTGATGTTGCGTGATGGCCGATGGTTCAGTAAGCAAGCTGCATGATTGGTTGTGGTTTGGGGAAGCGACCTAGCAAAACAATGGGCTCTGTCTGATTTACTCAACATCTTTATTATATTCGCTAAGTCTTAGGGCATGCTCAATGTATATTACTCAAGTACTTCCTCCGTCCTAAAAAACCAACCTTAGCATAGATAAAACATAGAATAACGAATTTGGACATGTTGTCCTAGGAAGTGTCCCATCCATACTAAGATTGACTTTTTTTTGGGACAAAAAGAGTAGATAGTAAGGTGGG